GTACTCTCGCCAGGGTGGGGGTGACAGAGCAAGACGTTGTCTCAGGAAAAAACAAACCCCAAACCAACCAACCAAAAGAAAAAAAAAAAAAAAAAGAAAGGAATGGGCAAGAGAGAAAGGAAGAGTACTTTGAGACTTTCTGTTTTTGGCAGACTTATCCTTATTGCTACTTTAACCCACATTATATGGTTTTCCTTTTCAGTACTCCCTGGTGGAACTACAGGTGAGTAGAAGTTTCTTTTTCTTCTCTGACAGTTGTGGAGAAGGAAGAGTGAGATTAGGAGCTAAATCTTGAAGGCAGACACAACTCTGAGATCTTGGTTCAGACCCCCAAGGCTCTGCCAGCCCACATCCACCTGAGCGGAGCCTGTCTTCTTGCTGCTGCCCTCCTGGTCTCTCAGACCTAAGCCGTTGTAGACAAGGACACCCCCCTCGGCCATGCCTGCGGCCCCCTGCCCCTCATTAGTGTCACTTCTCCGTGCCATGCCCATTTAGCCAGGCTTGGGTCTGTGCTCCTGTTAGTTTTAGTTAATAGCTCTTGTCATAAACGCTCCACAGTTACCTGACAGCACAAATGCCTGTGAGAAGAGTTTCAAAGGAAAGGATCTAGAACGGTGAATTCCCCACAGTATCCCCTCCATTTTTTTCCATGACACTACCTATCCTTCAGGTATCCTACGATCAATTCCTTCAGCCTTGTCCCTCAATAAGACCAGAAGGACAGTAAACATTCTTTGTAAATGATATCCCAAAGCCCACTTTCTGAAACTGCCATTGACACTTCAGATAACTCATTCTGATCGTTTGAATCCATAAGGACCCTTTCCCTCCTAGGCTGGACATATAGGAATATTTATTTCATCCAGTAAGGAAGGAAATTATAAATAACACAGGGAGCTGTTCTTCCTGATCACAGGCCACAGGGGCTGTGAATGGCGGGTAGAACTCTTTACTTGCTGTTTGCTTCTTTGCCTGCGTTTCGCAGTGTCTCCGGAGCGGGAAGCAAACAGGCAGGCACATCACGCAGTTTCTCTTCATTGGACACAGGATCCAAACAACAACAGGATTGCACAGTGGCTGGACGTGACGCCCATGCAAGGCATTGTAGACCTGTCCTTCCAACTGGCACCAGAGGCAACGCTGGGCACCTACACAGTGGCAGTGGCAGTGGCTGAGGGCAAGACCTTTGGCACTTTCAGCGTGGAGGAATACGGTAGGTGGGGTGATTGACTTGTCAAAGTATTAGGAATAATCCTGACTCAAAATCAGCAAAGGGCAAGTAAAATCTGCTCTGGGGAAGAATTATGTACTTATTTTTTAATCAGTGGTAAACCAACTAATAACCTCAGGGGCATTTTACCTTAATAATGTCCCCTTTGTTAAACTAATTAATTTAATTATCACTGTTTTTATACCATCTGTTCACTACCTATTTGACTAAGTCCTCCTTTCTTTTTCCATTTCTCTTTCTGCTCTCTTCAGTGCTGCCTAAGTTTAAGGTGGAAGTGGTGGAACCCAAGCAGTTGTCAACGGTGCAGGAATCTTTCTTAGTAAAAATCTGTTGCAGGTAAGAGCGGGAGCTCTGGATCTGGTGGAGATTGAAGCCACCTTGAGAGAAGTGAGGGACTGATGTGGGCAGAGGGATGATGGGTGAGCCAAAACTTGGGTTTTATGTAGTTAGGAGTCCTGTCTTATCCGAGAACACATTTCATAATTGCTTTTCTGCTCTGATTGTCCACTGCTCACTCTGTCAGTATCATTGATTTGGTCTCTACTTTGTGTAGAACACAATATTGAATCCCGTGGAGAAATAGGAGTAAGGAGAAAGAAAGATACTGTTTCTGACCTCAGCATGGTGCTTCTTGTGTAATGGAAACACACTGAGGCTCTGAGGAAAGCAGGAAAGGGAAAGAAGAGCTAGAGAAGGTAGGATTGTCAGAGCACTTTCAGGGCTACAGTGTGGGAAAGAAGGGAGAGTCGGATCTCCAACAGGATCCCCAGCTCTGGCTCCTCATGCTTTTCTCGGTCAGGTTCACCTACGGAAAGCCCGTGCTAGGGGCAGTGCAGGTGTCGGCCTGTCAGAAGGCATATGCTTACTGGCTTAGAGAGGTGGGACAGGACCCCGACAAATGCAAGCACCTCTCTGGACAGGTGAGTAAATGGGAAGTAGAAAAGGAGCCATAGCCACACAACCCAGAGAGTAAGTAAGTAAGCATCAACTTAGAGAAGTGGTAAAAAGCCCGAAGTGGGAAGCATTTCACAGGACTGTTATCCCAATTCCAAAGAACGAAGCAGTGTTCATATCCTAAATAGGTAGCCTTTCGGAGTCTGCCTGGAAATTGAGAAATTAACCTAAAGTCTTGCACGGTACAATTTTCCAGTTCTGCTCTTGGTTCTTTTTCCATTTCTCAAATCTTGGAGCTGCAAAATTGTCTCATGATTGCATATATGTCAGTGTACACTCCATGTTATAGAAGTTTTTCTATCTTAAAGATGGAGAAACTAAAGCATGGAGAGAAGAAATCACTTCCTTCTACAATACATTATGAAATGGAAGTGGAGATTAGATTCCTCACACTCTCTCTGTCTCGCTTGGATTGCCTCACTAGACTGACAAAACAGGGTGCTTCTCGGCGTCCGTGGACATGGCCACCTTTAACCTCACCGGATACGTGTACAGCCACAACATCAACATTGTGGCTGCTGTGGTGGAGAAAGGGACAGGTAAGCGGGCGCTCCTGGGCTTGTTAAAAGAAGAGAAAGGAACAGGGCTGCCCCCGGGATAGACCTCCTCGGAGGATTCAAACTCTACCCTCATGAGTGTCTGGGAGGTACCCTACTCTTCGTTCTCAGTCCAGGGGAAATGCCAGATTTCCTGCCGTCTACTACCTATTTCCCCAAAAGTTGGAGGAGGAAGAGTTGGTTTGGATCTTTGGCCAGAAATATATTCAACTTCATACTTCCAGTGGCACCGTTCGCTCAGCAACTGGATGTTACAGATGAAGATGAGGCTATCAGGCACTTAGATCATTGTACACTTGGTTTCCCTCTGCAGGAGTCGAGGCCAATACCACTCAGGATATTTACATTTCTTCACAAATGGGATCAATGACCTTTGAGGACACCAATAATTTTTATTACCCCAATTTCCCCTTCAGTGGGAAGGTAAGTCACTACTTGTCTCTGCATAAACAAAAATGCTTAACCATCTACTTTTGCTTCCTTCCTATGGCCATATAATAATAGCTAAATTAGCATTGTTCTAAGTACTTTACATATATTCATTTATTTAATCCTTACAACAATCCTATGAGGTAGATGCTATTATTGGCCCCATTTTATACACGAAGAGACTGAAGCAAGAGAGGCTGAGTGATTTTCCCAAGGTTCCACAGCTAGTAAGCAGTAACTGTGACCAAATCAGGAGCCTGCACCCAGAGTATACGCTCTTAACTCCTTGTGCTATGCTCCGTTATGTGCTTTGAGGACGAGTGTGACTGCAGGGCCCTTCCTAATGCTAGGGGCTCGTCTTTCAACGTCCCAATCTTTGAGTTTAAGAGCTGCAAGGTTTCTGGAAAAATCATCTACTCTGGGCTTCTGCATCTAAGCAAGGTTAACAGCAAACTTTCCTTCACAAAAAGCCATTTACAGCTCCTTAAGAATTTTCTTTGGAGATTTGAAAGTTTCCTTTCTTAGTGTCTTCTCTCTGATCCCTAACTGAGCCCCCTCTCTTCAGCTATCTTTCTTTACCTCCCACACAACTGGTCAACCCAGTAATATTGTACCTATTTAGACACATTTATTCCTTAGTCATGTTTTCTCTAGATCAAGGGTAGATCTAGATTTTTTTTAGGGCCCAAGGATTGTGCAATTTGGGAGGGGAAGAGAGTCTCTGTCCAGAACCTTGCGGGAGCTGGTGCCAACGAAGAGCCTGAAAGCTGCCTCAGCTGCAGGCACACCCAGCTGTGCCCGAGGCTGCTCCTGCCATTGCTTCTCCCTTCCTCGTAGATCCTAGTTGTGAATGCTTGAATCACATTTACATTTTTCTGGACTCTTTCCTGAAGTGTATTCTTAGAATTTGTGTTATGGCTTCACTTTGCCTCATACGCAAGGCAACTCCAAACCTAATTCTAACGTCCTAATGACCTTCACCCCTCAGGTAAGAGTTATGGGCCATGATGGCTCCCTCCTGAAGAACCATCCAGTGTTTCTGGTGATTTCTGGCATAAATGGAACCATCAACCAGACCCTCATTACGGACAACAATGGCCTTGCTCCCTTCAAGCTGGACACGTCCAACTGGAAAGGGACAGAGGTTTCTCTTCAGGTAAGTGCTGCGGAGGACCCTCTTCCTACAAAGGAAGATTTCCTGAAGGACAACTTCAAAATCTTCTTATTCTCCTTTCAACTTGTAATTCCATCCCTCTCATTCACTGTTTTTCTCAGATCCTTTCGGTTTTTAATATCAACCAAATAAGTAACCCTTCAGATGAAAACTATGATTTATACTAATCCATCTTATAACTTATCCCCATCTCTGTCTGATGCTATTTATTTATTTTGTTTATTTTTTATTTTTTTGAGACAGAGTCTCACTTTTGTTGCCCGGGCTGGAGTGAGTGCCGTGGTGTCAGCCTAGCTCACAGCAACCTCAAACTCCTGGGCTCAGCTGATCCTCCTGCCTCAGCCTCCTGAGTAGCTGGGACTATAGGCATGCGCCTCCATGACCGGCTAATTTTTTCTATATATGTTTAGTGTCTGATGCTATTTATGAAATCAGAGCAGGGAAGGAAAAGTAGTTCAGAATCAAATCTTCTTCCCATTCCCCTTCCATTCCTCCCATTACTTATGAAAATGGCAAACAAGAAAACTCTAGATTTTAGATAACTTATCAGGAAGGCTACTTGTACCAGTTAGCAACTGCTACAACAATGTGCTGCTTACCAAACAGCTACAAAGCCTCAGCATCACGCAACAGAACGCACTCGTTTCTCACTCACCGGGGGTGGGCAGTTAGGCAGCTCTGACAATTCCGGTGGGTTTCCTGCTGTGTCCGTGGATCTGCTGGCTGTAAGCTGGTGTTCCATGTCTCTCATCCTCCAGCGAGCCAGTCCAGGTGTATTCTTATGGCAGTGATAAGACACAAGAGCAAAAGCTGACATATGAGGGCTTTTCTAAGCATCTACTTATATTGCACATGCTAATATCCCATTCCCAACCACTAGTCACATGGTGAGCCCACGGGCAGACTAAGATTACTTGGTAAAGGATGTTGAACAGGAAGGGGTGAAGAATTGGAGTCACGAAGCCATTAATGCAATCATTCAACTACACAACTTAAGCAAACACATACTATTTGTCTTGAGGCTAATTTGACTATGTTTTTTGAGACAAGGGTCTCACTGTGTCACCCAGGCTGGAGTGCAATGGCACAGTCAAAGCTCACTGTAACCTTAAACTCCTGGGCTCCAGTGATCTCCTGCCTCAGCCCCTGCCCTTGAATAGCTGGGACTACAGGTGTGCCACCATGCCAGGCTAATTTTTTTCTTACTTTTTGTAGAGATGGGATCTTGCTATGTTGCCCAAGCTGGTCTCAAACCCCTGGCCTCAAGTGATCCTCTCACCTCGGTCTCCCAAAGTGCTGTGATTATAGGCATACTGTACCCTGTCTTGACTATGTCTTTAGCCATTATTCAATCAATATACTAAATTTTTCAATCTTAGTATCCTCTATGCCTAGTTTTCTTATCCCTGAAATATACTCTTTGGTTTCTATATAATCTTAGTCATGCTCATCTATCCCCTTGGTATTAGTTGGTAAAGGTATATCACCCACAATTTCCCATACTTAACAACTATAGTGCAGCTTTCCTATGACTCTCCTACATGCCAAAATGTTGCTACACACAACCACCTTTATGGATTCCTTATCCCTCCTTGCTGGACCTCTAGTGAAATACCCACGTGCCTCTCCGAGGCAGTGAAGATTTGAGAGAAAGAGCTCTGTTTGAAAACCATGACAAGTCCATGGGGTTAATGTGCCTGGGGTAAGACAGGACTTTTTCTTTTTCTCCCAGGGCAAGTTCGAAATGGAAGATTCAGTATACAATCCAGGACAAGTGCCTCATTACTACCAAAATGCCTACCTGTACCTGCAACCCTTCTACAACACAACCCGCAGCTTCCTTGGCATCCGCAAGTCAAACGGCCTCTTGAAATGCGGCCAGCCCCAGGAAGTGCTGGTGGACTATTTCATCGATCCAGCTGATGCTAGCCCTGACAATGAAATCACCTTCTCCTACTATGTAAGACTGAGAAACGGGGATTGGTGAGAGTGTGTTGGGAAGGGGAGTCAGCCAGAAAGCTGGATAGACCATCTAGATGGGGACACGGTGCAAGACATTTCAAAATTTTTAGAAGCCATATTAAAAAAATTAAAAGGACAGGTGAATGGCCGGGCGCGGTGGCTCACGCCTGTAATCCTAGCACTTTGGGAGGCCAAGGCGGGCGGATCGCTCAAGGTCAGGAGTTCGAAACCAGCCTGAGTGAGACCCCGTCTCTATAAAAAAAAAAAATAATAAAAAAAAAAATAAAAGGACAGGTGAAATTAATTTTTAAAAATATATTTTACGTAGCCTAGTGTATCCAAAATATTATCAACATGAAATCAATATAAGAAATTAATAGCTATTTTACATTCTTTCTTTCAACCAACTCTCTGAAACTCAGTTTGCATTTTCCCCTTAAAGCACATCTCAGTTGAAACTGGCCACATTTCAAGTATTCAGTATTCACCTGTGGCTGGGGGCTACTGTGTCACACAGTGTAGACGTAAGGAATGGGACAATTTGAGGAATAAAGAGATTTTGAGTAGGAACCCAGGGAAATTGTCTGGGAAAATAAAATAAGGAATTAACTGAGAAAATGTTGCCAGCCTGGGTGGAAAAGGAGGCGGGTGGGAGAGAAGGTGCGGAGAGAACGGGACTCCGGATGCGTTTTCTTCTGTGCTCTGTATGTGGGCCATAGTTTCAAATAGGTGCTGCAGGGTTAAAATTCGCATCAATAGCAGGCTTATTGGGGAAATGAAACCACAGCTGGGCAGCCCTAAAGCAATGTGTAAAGACCAGCAGGAAGCAGAGTCATGGGATCCTTAGGCTTGAATATTCCAGGGTCTTCACTCACTTACCCTCCTCTCAGTCTCTGGGAGACTCTCTCGCCTCTGGATAATTCCAGTAGCTTCTGTGAGTTCAGTGTTTTCATCCCGCTAAAAACAGTCGTCCTGACACAGGGGAATGAGGAGAGGCAGGTGGGCCGTGACAAGTCAGAGTGACAGGCCCGTCTTCAGCACAGGCGTGGGGAGGCGTGGGAAAGGCGTGAGTGGAGGCTGCGCCATTCGGAACAGCTTTGGCCACGGAGCCCCTGACAGGAGCGTGGGCAACACTTTCCTGGGATTCTGTTTCACATGAGAGGGGACAGGAAAGGAGAATTTAAACAAAGGAGGTTTCTCCTCCAGAGGGTCAAATGCCAGAAGGGCTCGGGAGGGTTTAAGGTGAGCTCATTGCCACTGAATTTTGAACTGAGCCACAATACAAGGTTATGAGGATGGACTTCAGCTCACTTTATGTTACAAGGATTATAAGAGAATAAAACCTGGAATCTTCAAGAAATGGCGGGCAGCCATCTATAGTGAGGAATGACATCCTGCTCCCAGACACCTCCCCTCGACCCCCGTGGTTCTCAGCAGTCCTCCCCCTGGAGGGAGAGTCCTCAGGACCTGCTGGCAGCACCTGCCCTTGTCAAGCCAAGGGATGCCGGGGGAGTGTTGAGCAGGCTCGCAGCTGTGGTAGGAGCCTCCCCTCCCGGAGGGATGCAGAGACATTCCAGAAGTAGGGCCAAGGGGAAATTACCGCAACTTCTGCGCTGTTGGTTATTTTCTTCTCTTCTTTAGTTAATAGGGAGAGGGAGTTTGCAGATGGAGGGGCAGAAACATCTGAACTGTAAGAAGGAAGGTGAGTGTATGTCATGCATCTTCTGGAAAACAAAAGGATATTTTAAACTTCCAGAAAACAGTTATACATAGAAGCAGTGAGAACGGAACACTGACAACAATCATAGAAGAATGAGAAGTAACTCACACTGTGCCGCTGCGTTGGAAAGCGCACACGTGTGGCTAGATGTCACGGGCAGGTGAATGTGCATTTCCACTCCCCTGGACGTCCCCTCCTCTCTTTCAGGACTGAAAGGCTCCTTCTCTCTCTCCCTGACCTTCACCTCCAGACTAGCTCCTGATCCTTCCCTGCTGATCTATGCCATTTTTTCCAGTGGAGGTGTTATAGCTGACAGAATTCAGTTCTCAGTGGAGATGTGCTTTGACAATCAGGTAAAAGGGCAGTTGAGGAGGGTAAAGAAAGCAGTTGGGCATAAAGAAAGATCTGTGTGCGCTGGGGCTGGAGACAGACAGGTTCAGGGAAACACGAAGATGCTATTGGCATTGGATGTCATGTTGTATTTATATCTTTAGTGTTTTAGGTTTATGTTGAAATCTATTTCTCTCTTCTTTCTGCTTTTTAAAAAGTCATGCTGGCCGGGCGTGGTGGCTCACGCCTGTAATCCTAGCACTCTGGGAGGCCGAGGTGGGCGGATTGCTAGAGGTCAAAAGTTCGAAACCAGCTTGAGCAAGAGCGAGACCCCGTCTCTACTATAAATAGAAAGAAATTAATTGGCCAACTAATTTATATATATAAAAAATTAGCCGGGCATGGTGGCACATGCCTGTAATCCCAGCTACTTGGGAGGCTGAGGCAGAAGGATTGCTTGAGCCCAGGAGTTTGAGGTTGCTGTGAGCTAGGCTGATGCCATGGCACTCACTCTAGCCTGGGCAACAAAGTGAGACTCTGTCTCAAAAAAAAAAAAAAAAAAAAAGTCATGCTGGATAGTCACATGTTCTATATAGTTATTCCACATACTCTATGTCTTTCTACTTTTTCTCTTCTAAACTTTCTATATCATTCTGTACTGCACATTTTTTCCCAACTCTATCATAACATACCACTCCTAAAGAGCTAGACTTTACAAAGAAAAGTATGGAAGTGCAGGAATGGGTTGGATACCATAGCTAGGGCGTGTTGGCTGATGGTGCAAATCACATTGTTTCTCCTCCTGCCTAGGCTGACCTGATCCCCACGTTCTGCCTTTCCCTTCTCCAGGTTTCCCTTGGCTTCTCACCTTCCCGGCAGCTTCCAGGGGCAGATGTGGAGCTGCAGCTGCAGGCAGCTCCTGGGTCCCTGTGTGCTATCCGGGCTGTGGATGAGAGTGTCCTTCTCCTGAGGCCAGAGACAGAGCTGAGCAACAGCTCTGTGAGTAGTCTGCGGATGGGGTGGGAAGAGGGAGTCCATAGAGAAGAATTTGCATCAGAACAAGCGGTAGATTTCAGGGAACAAAATCTTAGATATCAGAGACAAAATCTTAGGGAAATAATGAGCCACCAAAGGGTGGTAAAAAAGCTGGTATAGAAATGCAGGTACGAGAAGGGCACAATTAATATGAACATAGAGATAAGGAAAGAAAATGAAATAGGAGATAGGATTATGAAGAGGGGTGAGACAGGTTAAAATTTAAAAAGAATGGTGATTACGACAGAATAAATATACAAATAATTCTGGAGTAATGAAGGGCCATGATGCAGGAGAATGTGGCAGAATCTGGCACAGAATCAGAGAAGTTTCTCAATTGATTTCACTGTGTCAATATGTTATTTTCTTTGCCTCTCTTTCCTCAGGTCTATGGGATGTTTCCGTTCTGGTATGGCTACTACCCCTATCAAGTGGCTGAGTATGACGAGTGTCCGGTGTCTGGTCCGTGGGACTTTCCGCAGCCCCTCATCGACCCGGTGCCCGAGGGGCGCTGGAGCAGGCGTTCTGTCATCTGGAGGCCCTGGCACTCCGAGGGCACAGACCTTTACAGTTTTTTCCAGGTAGTTGTTCTTACCCAATTTGTTCTTATAGAAACAACAGTGGGGGGGGGCATCAAAAGAATGTCCATATTTAAGAAATCAGAGCGACTCACATGGGGATTGATTGACAGGAAAAGCATCTTGAAAGAAGCTTCTGACACGTAAGGCAGCCTCTCCTGGCTTTATAGTTGAAGAAGTTGCCTGATCGTGTTGGAAGAGAACCACTGCGAGAGGCTGTAAACTTAGTCCTCCTGTTTCTGTGGTCTCCAAACCTTGATTTTTCATGGTGTTGGACAAGAAGAATCAGGGAGGGCCACCCAGAGGTCTTTTATCATTATTATAAAAAATATTGTGCACCTATTTTATGAGCAGGGGTTTGAGATGCTGTGTGGCTCAAGTCTGACCTGGAGGTCTCTGAGGTCAGGAACCAGGTCTTGTTCACCTTTGTGTTCTCTCTAATGCCTGGCTATGCATGATGCCCATTGTATTTTTGTTGAATTGTTCAAACTGGTATGGCCGCTGCCTTTAGGAAGTTCAGAGTGTCAAATAATGACACAGCAGTGACTAATATTTAGAAGAAGCATTAAGTGTATTTACTGATGAAATAAGTTTAATTGAAAGCCTTTCATGGTTGGGCACAGTGGCTCACGCCTGTAATCCTAGCTCTCTGGGAGGCCGAGGCAGGCAGATTGCTCAAGGTCAGGAGTTCAAAACCAGCCTGAGCAAGAGCGAGACCCTGTCTCTACTAAAAATAGAAAGAAATTAATTGGCCAACTAATTTATATATATAAAAAATTAGCCGGGCATGGTGGCACATGCCTGTAATCCCAGCTACTTGGGAGGCTGAGGCAGGAGGATTGCTTGAGCCCAGGAGTTTGAGGTTGCTGTGAGCTAGGCTGACACCATGACACTCACTCTAGCCTGGGCAACAGAGTGAGACTCTGTCTCAAAAAAAAAGAATAAGCGGTAGATTTCAGGGAACAGAGACAAAGTCTTAGGGAAATAATGAGCCACCAAAGGGTGGTAAAAAAGCTTATAGAAATGCAGGTATAAGAAGGGCACGATTAATATGAACATAGAGATAAGGAAAGAGAATGAAATAGGAGATAGGATTATGAAGAGGGGTGAGACAGGTTAAAATTTAAAAAGAATGGTGATTACGTCAGAATAAATATACAAATAATTCTGGAGTAATGAAGGGCCATGGTGCAGGAGAATGTGGCAGAATCTGAGAGAAGTTTCCCATCTGATTTCACTGTGTCAATACGTTATTTTCTTTGCCCCTCTTTCCTCAGGTCTATGGGATGTTTCCGTTCTGGTATGGCTACTACCCCTATCAAGTGGCTGAGTATGACGAGTGTCCAGTGTCTGGTCCGTGGGACTTTCCACAGCCCCTCATCGACCCAGTGCCTGAGGGGCGCTGGAGCAGGCGTTCTGTCATCTGGAGGCCCTGGCACTCCGAGGGCACAGACCTTTACAGTTTTTTCCAGGTAGTTGTTCTTACCCAATTTGTTCTTATAGAAATAACGGTGGTGGGGGGGCAGCAAAGGAATGACCACATTTAAGAAATCAGAGCGACTCACATGGGGATTGAGTGACAGGAAAAGCATCTTGAAAGAAGCTTCTGACACGTAAGGCAGCCTCTCTTGGCTTTATAGTTGAAGAAGTTGCCCGATCATGTCGGAAGAGAACCACTGAGAGAGGTGTAAACTTAGTCCTCCTGTTTCTGTGGTCTCCAAACCTTGATTTTTCATGGCGTTGGACAAGAAGAATCAGGGAGGGCCACCCAGAGGTCTTTTATCATTATTATAAAAAATATTGTGCACCTATTTTATGAGCAGGGGTTTGAGATGCTGTGTGGCTCAAGTCTGACCTGGAGGTCTCTGAGGTCAGGAACCAGGTCTCATTCACCTTTGTGTTCTCTCTAATGCCTGGCTATGCACGATGCCCGTTGTACTTTTGTTGAATTGTTCAAACTGGTATGGCTGCTGCCTTTAGGAAGTTCAGAGTGTCAAATAATGACACAGAAGTGACTAATATTTAGAAGAAGCATTAAGTGTATTTACTGATGAAATAAGTTTAATTGAAAGCCTTTCATGGTTGGGCACAGTGGCTCACGCCTGTAATCCTAGCTCTCTGGGAGGCCGAGGCAGGCAGATTGCTCAAGGTCAGGAGTTCAAAACCAGCCTGAGCAAGAGCGAGACCCTGTCTCTACTAAAAATAGAAAGAAATTAATTGGCTAACTAAACTATATATATATATATTATATATATATAAATTAGCCAGGCACGGTGGCGCATGTCTGTAGTCCCAGCTACTCAGGAGGCTGAGGCAGGAGGATTACTTGAGCTCAGGAGTTTGAGGTTGATGTGAGCTAAGCTGACACCATGACACTCTAGCCTGGGCAACAGAAGAGAGACTCTGTCTCATTAAAAAAAAAAAAAAGAAAAGAAAAGAAAAAAGAAAGCCTTTCATACTAGCTGGAACAAAAGTGAACCCATTTGGTGGCTGAGTACAGACTGGGTAATAACCACCAGTCTCACCATTAATGGAGAAAGAATGTTTTTGTTTCAATCCTTAGAGGGTGGAATTCCTGGGCAGTAGCCCTTGGAGTAGGGGAAGGGACCACCTTACCAGTTTATTCTCTGGTCTCTTTGGTGCCTCTCAGCACACAGGCCTGAAAATACTGTCCAATGCCAAAATCAAGAAGCCTGTAGATTGCAGCCACCCATCTCCAAAACACGACAGGTTGATTGCTGGAGGTAAGCCACCTCCATGATGTGTGGGTTCCCTTGAGATGATTAAAGTCGTGAAACTCAGAAAACTCCCTCTTTGCCTCCTGTTCTTACACAGAACCTCTAGCTTTAAAATGCTAACGGGTTGTGCATAACAGATGTAGGAAGTTTCCTGAGGGTTCTCTCTCTGGAAAGGGCTTTTGAAGCCTGAAGCCCCTATCTCTGCATTCCCAGGCCAAACTCCCTAGCCTGTCACTTCCCTGATGGCCTTTGTGTCCAGTCAGCTCCCCAGTGGTCCCTCCTCCTTGTCCCTCACTGGATGTTCTCTGCTTCCACCTACATTTTTTTTTTTAGTAGTCCCTCCACCTCAACAGAAGTCGTCTGTTTTCCAAAATTCTCATATTCTTGGTCTCACCGTGGGGTGGTGTTGTTCCTCCAGAGGCCTTTGCGTCATCATCCAGTGGGCCCAGCGGAGGGGCACTTCCGTCAGAGGGTTCTCGGGTCCGCCAGTACTTCCCGGAGACCTGGCTCTGGGATCTGTTTCCTGTTGGGTAAGAGCTGACTCCAGGTACAGGAAGATTATGCAGAAAACGCCACATCATTCCTAATGGATCGAAGTCTCGAGCCGTGAAAGTCTGACGGAGCGTGGGCACTTGTGTCTCTCCCCGGGTTCTCACAGAATCGCACACAGCTTCTCAGTGAGGCGGCGCGTGCTGAGCGCGCTCGCGCCAGCGCCGCGCACGGTGAGGCACGCGCTGCCGCTAGCTCCTGCCCACTGCTCACGTGCTCGCGTGGACAAGTTAAGAACGCCAGCCCTCTTTCAGGTGTGCGTGCACACAAGCGCCCCACGTGCCCCCGCACGCCCTGCCACCCCTTCTCCCATCCTCGCACGTCCTCCCTCGCCTGAGGCGCCACCCTGAGAGTCACATGTTCCCCCAGGTCACTCGCCTCTTTACTTTTCCCCACACAACAAAAACACTCCCCATCTGCAGACGGATCTGTACCTGAATGCCCGAACGCTCTCCCCCGGCCACCTCTGCCTCACGCGGGCTCTCGTGTTCTCGCAGAGACTCGGGGAAGGAAGCGGTCCACGTCACAGTTCCCGACGCCATCACCGAGTGGAAGGCCATGACCTTTTGCACCTCCCAGTCCAGAGGCTTCGGTCTTTCGCCCCCTGTCGGACTAACCGCCTTCCAGCCGTTCTTCGTCGAGCTGACTCTCCCTTACTCGGTCTTCCGTGGGGAGTCCTTCCGTCTCACGGCCACCGTCTTCAATTATCTAAAGGACTGCATCAGGGTGAGAGCCCTGGGCCCCCGCCCCTGCCAGCGGTTTGTCCCTGACGGGGAGCACAGCCATTTTCCCCGGGGAAGCAGTGAGACGCCGGTGCCTCCGCCCGTGTCCCTCCGCTCTGTGCGCCGGCTGCTTTGCTCATGCCCTTCGGCTCTCCAACGCCCCCTGCAGGTTCAGACCAACCTGGCTGCCGCCGACGGGTACCAGGTGAATTCGTGGGCTGACTCTCGGGCCTCCAGTTGTCTCTGTGCGGATGAAGCAGAAACCTATCACTGGAACGTCACAGCCGTCACCTTGGGTAAGAGCGGGAGGCGACAGACGGGCACAGGAAGCCCGGCGCAGACGCTCAGGGATGGAGAACTTGGTTCTCTGGTTTGCGTCTGCTTTGTTTCTTCCTCCCTCTGCCTTTTATTCGCCTCTGCTTTCCTCTCCCCTAAGGCTATGCTGTGAGTAAATAAACAAATACTCTCCGATAGGTGACCAAACAAATTTATCCAAACTGGAACATTCTGAGTGTGAAAGGGAGAGCTTTTAATATTCATACCAGGACAAGGGACATGTGGTCACGTAAGGAATCAAGCGCTTGGCCGGGCACGGTGGCTCACGCCTGTAATCCTAGATCTCTGGGAGGCCGATGGGGGAGGATCATTTGAGCTCAGGAGTTTGAAACCAACCTGAGCAAGAGCGAGACCCTGTCTCTAGTATAAATAGAAAGAAATTAATTGGCCAACTAATATATATAGAAAAAACTAGCCGGGCATGGTAGCGCATGCCTGTAGTCCCAGCTACTCTGGAGCATGAGGCAACAGTATTGCTTGAGCCCAGGAGTTTGAGGTTGCTGTGAGCTAGCCTGACACCACGGCACCCACTCTAGCCTGGGCAACAGAGTGAGACTCTGTCTCAAAAACCAAAAAGGAATCAAGCGCTTGCAATGGGCCAGGCACCCTTCTGACTGCTTGACATGTCTTGACTTATCTAATCCTCACACTAACCCTAGGGGATGCCAGTTGCTCATAGTTTAAAACCATGCAACTCAAAGGACAGTCTTCAGGTATATTCGTTACCTATGGTTGCTTGACAAATTACCATAAGACTTAGTGGTTTTAAAAACAAACACTTCTTATCACACGATTTCTGTGGGCAGTAATCTGGATGCAGCTTAGCTGGGGTCCTCTGGCTCAAGGTCTCTCATGAAGGTGCTTCAAGCTGACAGCCAGGGCTGGGTCTCGCCTGAAGACTGGACTAGCAGAGGGTCCATTTTCAAGCTTGGCCAAAGCCTCCCATCCCCATGGGCTGTTGGACTGAGGGCCACGTTCTTAAACTCAAGTGTTGGCCAGGGGCCTTGCTCAGTGTCTCCTCAGGTGAACCTTCCCCCTGGGCTGCCTCTCACACGACAGCTGTTGTTCCCCAGAGCGAATAGTCTGAGAGGAAGAGTGTGCCAAGACAGAAGCTGGCGTCTTTTTTTTTTTTTTTAAAACCCTAATCTCAGAAGGGACGTCTCATTACTTTTGCCCTATCCTATTTTTTTTTTTTTTTTTTTAGACAGAGTCTCACTTTGTTGCCCAGGCTAGAGTGAGTGCCGTGAGGTCAGCCTAGCTCACAGCAACCTCAAACTCCTGGGCTCAAGCAATCCTCCTGCCTCAGCCTCCTAAGTAGCTGGGACTACAGGCATGTACCACCATGCCCGGCTAATTTTTTCTATATATGTATTAGTTGGCCAATTAATTTCTTTCTATTTATAGTAGAGACGGGGTCTCGCTCTTGCTCAGGCTGGTTTCGAACTCCTGACCTCGAGCAATTCGGCCGCCTCAGCCTCCCAGAGTGCTAGGATTACAGGCGTGAGCCAGCTCGCCCGGCCTTGCCCTATCCTCTTGATTAGAAGCAAACCACCCAATCCAGCCCACACTTGACAGGAAGGATGTAAATGTCAGGATGCAGGGGTCATTGCCGGTCCTTAGAGGCTACCTGTCACACTGGGCCAGCGTCACTGGCATCACTTAAAACTTGTTAGAAATGCAGATCAGCCTCGCTCCCCCATCAGAGTTTGTGTTGTAACAAGAGTCCCCAGCTGATCTGTAGCCATTAATGCTTAAGAAATACTGGTCTAAGAAGAATGGCCAACAAACATATGAAAAAATGCTCAACATTTTTGAGCATTTCCCTAATCATCAGGGAAATGCAAATCAAAACCACAATGAGATATCACTTAACCCCAGTGAGAATGGCCTTTATCAAAAAATCTCCAAACAATAAATGCTGACGTGGATGCAGAGAGAGAGGAACACTCCTACACTGCTGGTGGGACTGCAAACTAGTTCAACCTCTGTGGAAAGCAATATGGAGATATCTTAAAGCGATACAAGTGATTCTACCATTTGATCCAGCAATCCCATTGCTGGGCATTTACCAAAAGATCCAATGAACTCTACAAAAGACACCTGCACTCGAATGTTTATAGCAGCACAATTCATAATTGCAAGGCTATGGAAACAGCCCAAGTGTCCATCAATCCAAGAATGGATTAATAAAATGTGGTATATGTATACCATGGAGTACTATTCAGCTCTAAGAAACAAGAAACAACGGTGATATAGCACATCTTATATTTTCCTGGTTAGAGCTGGAACCCATACTATTAAGTGAAGTATCCCAAGAATGGAAAAACAAGCACCACATATACTCACCAGCAAATTGGTATTAACTGAACAATACCTAAGTGGTCACATAGGTACTACAGTAATAGAGTATTGGGCAGGTGGGAGGGGAGGGGGGCGGTATATACATACATAATGAGTGAGATGTGCACCATCTGGGGGATGGTCATGATGGAGACTCAGACTTGGTGGGGGAGGGGGGAAATGGGCATTTATTGAAACCTTAAAATCTGTACCCCCAGAATATGCCGAAATAAAATAAACAAAAATTAAAAAAAAGAAATACTGGTCTGGGGGGGGCGGGGGGGGGGCTCACGCCTGTAATCCTAGCACTCTGGGAGGCCAAGGCGGGCAGATCGCTCGAGGTCAGGAGTTCGAAACCAGCCTGAGCAAGAGTTAGACCCTGTCTCTACTAAAACAGAAAGAAATTAATTGGCCAACTAATAATATATAGAAAAAATTAGCCGGGCATAGTGGTGCATGCCTGTAGTCCCAGCTACTCGGGAGGCTGAGGCAGAAGGATTGCTTGAGCCCAGGAGTTTGAGGTTGCTGTGAGCTAGGCTGACGCCATGGCACTCTAGCCCTGGAAACAGAGGGAGACTGTGTCTCAAAAAACAAAAAGAAATGCTGGTCTAGAGGGGAAAAGACCTCACTGGTGCCTCTGGCAATAGGGCTAAGGGCTTCCCTTCACCTTCTTTCCTCAGGTCGTGTTAACTTTACCATTAGCACTAAGATTCTGGACAGCGATGAACTCTGTGGGGGCCGCAAGGGGTTTGTTCCCAAAAAGGGCCAGAGTGACACGCTCATCAAGTCGGTTCTCGTCAAGGTGAGTTCTGTGCAGGCTGGCTGCAGAGGTAGAGTCCGCAGCCGCAATGCTCGATGCTTGTGTCTCACCACGTCAGTTCCCTCTCACAACAACCTCACGCCAACCCAACCAGGCAGCTTCAACTTTCTCCTTCCCTGGCAATTTAACCATCTGCCTACCCCATACCTGCGGCCTAGGAAATGCCAGCACGGTGCCTGGCACATCACAGACACTCAATAAATGTTAGTTTCCTGTACTAAAATCCCTAACTTCGTCATTAGCTGCTTTTTTTTTAAATCCCATCATGAACCCCATCATCAATCCTGCCTCTTATAAGTTGCCTAAATCTGTCCTTAGCTCTAGCCCTTGCTCAGAAAGGATTTCACAGAGAGGGTCTATCCCTGGATTGAAATGCAGTCCTTCTGAGCTTCAAAGAAGCTCCCGTCCCTCCAGCTCTGACTGAGGCTCTGGGCACAGGGAGGGGCCTCTTCACCCTGTAGATTCCCTTCCAGTTCCAATTCCTTCAGTGGCCCCTGCCCTGACATTCATCTTCATTGCTTTTACCTGTTCGTGTTCTTCTTCATGCCAGCCTGAGGGCGTCCTCGTGGAGAAGACACACAGCTCACTGTTGTGCCCAAAAGGTGGGTAGACTCAGAGGGGTGGGTGGGTGGAGAGGATTTCCATAGGGAGAAGGAGGAAGGTGCAGGACGGGAAGGGAGGGGAGACCTCGGGTTCCCTCCCTCACAGAGCCGATTAACTGAGAGGCAGGATAAGGAAGACAAAGTGTGCTACAAAATTGTGACTCTTGGGAATTTTCTGTCAGCAAAGATCACCATGATTGGTTAAAAAAAATCTGCCTCCATCTCACAAAAAGCACTGGGTACAGAAAACCCTGGAATATAAAAAGTCCGTCTATGGTTTGGGCTTGAGAACTCTCCCAATTCCCACCTTCCATGGTGTCACCTTTTCTCTGCCTCTCACAGGAAAGGTGGCTTCAGAATCCGTCTCCCTGGAGCTCCCTGTGGATGTTGTTCCTGACTCGACCAAAGCTTATGTTACTGTTCTGGGTAAGCAGCTAGAGAATCTTGTGTCAGAAAGGACAAGTTGGGCTGGAGGCAGCAAAGGTGTGGAGTGGGGCAGGGCGTGTGGCCCTACCGGAAGGAAAGTGTGGCAGAGAAGTGACGAAGAGGCTTTATTTTATATAGTGGGGAATACGGTGTGTAGGTAACAGTGCAGATGGGGTTGGATGTATACTCTAGTTAAAACCAGGAGTCTGGCAGGAGGAAGTTAAGGTCACTGAAGCTTGATATGTGTTTAGGTTTAGGTCGTTGCTGTGTA